GACCGCTGTAGTACTATGATCCATATGATAGATATTGGAGAAAAAATTAACTTCAATTTCCCCTTTTTCATTTTTATAATGAATGACACAGGATGGATTGTAGCTTGTTTGTTGTTGAAGTACCAACCTTGCGAACTAGACTGAACAAAAAATGAAAAATTTTCTGCGAATCTAAGTTAACACTACGTGCAACTTCTAAATTCTCGATCACTGTTTTCTTGTAATGAGCTTGCTGTTTTGCAATAAAATCAGGGGTTTATCAATTTTTCCAATTGTATATAATTCAGAGACAAAATCTTCAGCAGTTTTGGTGACAGACAGATTGTACCTCTATCTGTAGATTCCCATTGATTATAAGTTACATGGGAAACCATTTCTGAATCAAAGTAGACCTCTATTTTCTCTTGGAGATTGATCTGGGTGGGGCAGTTGGCACATCTACGGAAATAACAATAAACTTGAGGATCAGCACAAAGTAATGATTTTCTGCAGTCTTCTAGAGTGTCAACCCAGCTTCTTTTAGATTGGCGCTTCTAACATGAGGAGAGGATTTTGATGATGGGTACAAACGCAGATAACATGAGTCCCGGAGCACCAGCAAGAACGCACTCCTTCGGTCTCAACTCACAAAATTACCGGCTGACAATATTTTGTCAGGGAATTCTTCACAAACTTTGTATGCAGGTTTCCAAGGGTAGAATATCAGTCTTTTGCTCTTCTTAACTCGCAGTCCATTTTCTCTCACAGATACAAGGTAGGTTTACGCCAGACCGCGTCTTGTCGTAACAGGCTTCGCGATGTCTCGCTGCCTGTTCCTCCAATCCACGCCTGGCGTACCTACCTTGGCCTGCGGCGCTAGCCTGCCTGCGGCAGGCAATGGCTTGTCCGTTGTCGGTTATTTTTTAACTTGTTGAATGCTGGGGGGCTCCGCCCCCCAGACCCCCCTACATTCTAAATAGAGTTGTTTTATCTACAGATAACACGATCTTGACCCTTGTCACTTTTTAACTTGTCGAGGCTGGGGGGCTCCGCCCCCAGACCCCCCTTTCTCCAAGACAGAAGTGGTCTATCTGCAGAAAACTCTATTTCGCCGTTTTTTCGGTGTTTTTCGCCTATAAAACTGAACCAGTTGAGCTAGGATGGTGAAATTTCGCGTGTGCCGAGCCAAGGACATACCCAACAAGTGTGCAAATCTCACCGAGATCGGCCGAGCCGTTCAGGAGGAGTAGTGCGGACAGACATACCGACAGACGACAGAAGACCGACAGACAACCGAAGCAGTCCACAGACAGACGTCAGACAAAACTTTTCAACCCCACTGGAGTAACAGGCTTCGCTATCGCTCAGCCAATGACATCCTTTGACCCGGGCAGTGGTCGGCTTATGTCATCTCTTAAATAGAATTCCTTAACAAGTCTGATAGTCTCATCAGACAGCCCACGACCAGGTTTTGGTTCAAAAGATGGTAGGACCCCTTTAACTTTAACAAGACGCTTGGTTTTTCTGGCCATGGTAACAGCGAAAGTTTCTGTGATCTGGGAGTGCGTCCAGCTCTGGGGTAAAACTGAGAGAGCTAGGATCTTCTTAGATGAGTCAGTCTGTTCCTGAACATAATCTTGAAGTTGTTTGATGACCTCATTGAAGTCCTCTGATTTGCGGTCTTCCATGGAAATTCCTGGGCAATACAGTGTGAGAGCAGCCTTGACTTTTGCTACGACCTTTTCACCATAAGATTTTCTTTTTCTCAACTTGGCTTCCGATACTGGAGAAAATCCTAGAGCTGAAAGCCAAGTGTTCAGCCCATCAATCTTTTCTAAGAATGGTTCATCTGTTGGTTGTGCTTGTCCAGTGGTGTCGTTGTTGCTCGTACTGGATGGTGTGGAAGGTGGAGCTGGCGGCAGGGATGAACCAACACTTGGAGATGAAGTCACAGGTTCTCGAACAGCATTTATCTTCTTCAATTCGTTCTCCGCATTTGAGATCTTAGAAAAAATATCTATTTTGCATTTCACACATAGTTTTTTTCCTGGAATTAGATATAAATCCACTAGCTTTGCCCTGTATCTTAATTCCAGAGTTATTGCAAACAAATTAGAGGAGGCAGACTTCCTTTTTTTTTTGGTGGTTCGTTGTCTTTTGCTTCATCTTTATGATATTATAAAGGATCACAACAACGCTTTTCAAAGAAAGGAAACTTGGTAACAAACCAAGCAAGATGGGACGTACACACAAATTTCACAGACTTCTTGCATCCACTTCGTATTCTCAAAAGCCTCCGACTCTCATCAAGAAGCTTGTCTCTGGGCATAAGTTCACCAGAACAAACACCAATTCTTGGATCATGTGCCAAATGGTGAAGAAAGCACTTTGCACTGGGAGCCATATTGACAAGAGGGAATACCCTACAAGAGAGAACAAATGACCCAAACAGACCCAAAACAAGGTTTAGAAATACATACCACAGCAAAACATTCACAAAGATTCTACGATCCCCCACAGGCCTAGGCAACGGCGGCAACTGCCGTGTTGACGTCCAAAACAGTCCCAGAGACCCCTCCGCTCTCCAGTATTGCCAACTTCGGAATATTGTTATGGGTCATTCTACAGAAATGTTACAATTTGATGTCCCTGCCCCTTTGTGACGAAACGGTTCGTCCTAGAAAGACGCGGTTTGCGCGGTGAGATGGTGCTTTTTGTGCTTCAAAATGATCCACTATTGGGTTTGAAAGTTTCTGAGGTTTTCAGATGGCTGTGGCCTCCGGAAGGTGCAAAATGTAAACTCCGTGGCTGTCCCGATGCGTAGTTCACTAAGTTTGCGCCTCTCGTATGTCTAAACGAGACGCAGGACAATCATTCCCGACGGCTCTATTTGCTAAGGCACTTTTATACTTTAACTTAATCCCACTGACTTTAGTAAAAAGTTTGAAGCTTTGTGCCTGCACAGAATTAACTTTTGTCCCGAAGTTTTTACTTCCCTAAAATCCACATGTGCACTGTAACGAGTTTGGCACTACAGGAGACAAACGGGAAGTCACAGCCTCAATCTGAAGACTGCAATGGATTCCGGATGAAAAAACACATCTAGCCACCAAGTTTGAAGGATGTGAGTCCAATGGCTAGCATCTAATTGGTACCCAAATTTCAAAAAGGGGGTCGCGTATTTTTTTTGTATGTAAACTCCGTACCCGATTTGCCACGGATCCCCTGTGCGTCAAACTTTCGAATTGTGGATAAAAACAATGCTTTGGTGGTCCTTTAGTCAGCTGTGTATGCGCGTTCTACTGTTCCAACTCATACGGCTGCAATCCAGGTATTTGCTTCAAAATGTAAACTCCGTAGGCGTCAATTTATGTAAACTCCGAAGACATTTCCCCTATGATTTCAGTGGAGAAAAATTTTTTTCTCGAAAAGTGTGACGCTTGATATCGTTTCGCATTCTGCATGCCGAAACAAGAAAAACAAGCCCAATATGAATGAAATCGGACAACTTTTATTTTTTCACGGTTCTAACTGCGAAATTGTAACATTTCTGTAGAATGACCCATATTTAAAGCAGGCTTGCCAAACGCCTGCCAATTGCCTGGGCCCGATCCCGCAGTTTACCATCCCCCGACAGAGGGCAGCACCGTTGGCAGCGCTAGGGAAGGGCGCGCCTGGGAGGTAGGCCTGCCCGTCAGACCGGGCTGCGCTGCGTGGCTCCCACTGCCGACCTGGCAGGCGCTTTACCATAATTGAAAGTACCCGGTTTGTGGTTCGGTATTCCACGAGGAAGGGCAGCACCTCCGCCAGTGCCAGGGTGTGAGGGGTGGCCTTAGCCACGCCGGCGCACCACTTAAGGGGAAAAATAGGGAAAAAGGGGTATGCAGGGGTTCACGCGAATTGCTCGTTCTCCCAAACGAAGAATAATACTTTGGGTGGTTGAGCTTTTCTTTTAGATGATAAATAAAGGAAGATTTTGGAATTTTTTGAGAGATTTTAAAATATGGGTTTTTGAGATATCACACTGTCAAAGTTACACCTTTTTTGAAGTTTCACATTTTTTTTCGAAAAAAATCAAAAAAATTTTTTTTTTGTAGTCTTTTCTCCTCTTTCCAACGGTGGTCTCGGATTTGAGATACGACGAACGGTTGCCGAGATAATTGCATTTTAGTGCACCCATGTCGTCATGTATGTGAAAAACTTCATCAGGCCGTAGTTCGGAGCCCGGTGCAGATTTCGAAAAACTGAGTTGGGGTCTTCAAATGGTACCATAAGGCCAACAATCGCCCACTATGGCGATGGCCTCCGACAAGGTGTCGGTCCGAGCCCTGTCGAGTTGGCATGGAATGACCCCAATCAAAGTTTCGTCGAAAATCGAACTGGCGGGCGTCCCTCAGTCCGCAAAAATAAAGATATCTCGACCCCGTTTGCGCCAAAATGTAGGTAATTAAAGCGGCTTTAGCGCAAACTAGGATTATGAACATCGAACAATCAAAAGTACAAAATTTTACGAAAAAACCTGTTTTGATCATTTTTGCAAAATCCTCAAAAAGTGTTTTTGGATGAAATTTTGTACTTCCGGTTGCTCGATGTTTATTATCCTAGTTTGCGCTATAGCCGCTTCAATTTCCTACATTTTGGCGCAAACGGGGTCGAGATATCTTCATTTTTGCGGACTGAGGGACGCCCGCCAGTTCGACTTTTGACGAAAATTTGATTGGGCGCTGCTCCGCTCCCTGACGTCCGATCGATGCCATTCTGGGCTTAAAATGCTTCTTTTTGTAAGGTCTTGACACATGAAAAGTTTGAACAACGCTCAACAACGCGTATGGAAGCAATAGCACAAGTCAGTTTTTGGCCATTTTCAGTGTATTGCCCCCTTAATCATGCGAGTTGAAATAACGAGCACTGCGGTTCCAAGCTACCACACGGGTCATCTATTTAGGCTATTTATTTATTGCAGTAATCAGTGCAGTGTCCCGTTATCTCTATTTTATTAATTATTGCCTTTTAAACCGCAGGTGCGCTTAAGGCGTACGGCCAAACAACTGAGGCAACTTCTATGGTTCTACTTTGTTTATGCAATGACCTTGGAGTTGGTCATGACCATCGCCTTCGTGGTTATTCGGCAAAACTTCCCGGAGGTGGTTGCCGAGACAGTGCTGTCATCACGCGAAACCGTGGTACCACGTAGTGTGAAAACTAGTGCGTTGGAATTGCGTATTGACATTATAATTTTTCGCGTGGGAATTAAATGGGTGGAGGGACTGAATCTTCGATTGAAGGCGCGCTGTCAACTCCCCAAGTTAATGTCTCAAGTGGCAAGTGTATAACTCTGTTGAATTTCATCAGATCAACTGGGATACCACTTTTGAAACAGAAGAAAAGACGAGATTGATGTCGTGGCTCCGTTGGGGTGTTTTCCCCCTCCAGTGGTGTTCTGCTCTTGTAAACAACTGCGCAATGCATACGTTAGTGTTGTTCCTTTTGACAGTGTACACTGTCTCTTCGGACGTCTGGAACGGCATAGGGTTGGCCGTGCAGGTAATACTTCTTTCTTTCTTTAGTCATTTCATATTTGCGCTTCTTAAAGCTGAAGTTGCAGGCAGGTGGATGCACGCCCTTGTGGCTGGGAGCACAGAGGTCCGTGACGGACACTTTGCTCAAGCTGGACAGGGCCGTGTTCGACATGATGCCTCACCTGCTCGTGGTGACTATCGTCCTCCCGCTCCTGAGCACCGTCGAGGTTCGTTCTGACTACGGTGGTACCCCTTTCTGTCGAATAAAAACGCAAGGGTTTGCGTGAAATTATTTCCAATTTCCCTGAAGTGTGTATCAAATTATTGACTGTTAAGTAACGATGCAAATAGGATACTTTCGTTGCACTTGTGTCAAATTTTGCCTGAAAGTCCCATACCAATTCACGCCCTTCCTAAGGGTATTTAACGATTCACGTCCTTGAAGGGGTGTTGTTCTTAAGGGGGTAGTTTTCATGCCTTTGTTTTACCAGTGAGTCCACTGTAACGGTGGCAGTGCACAGTGCACGGAGAAAATAATTTGTTTTACCAACGAAAATAAACCTTGATTATAGGATAGCAAAAAATAAGTTGTTTGGTGTACTATCAATTTGTTGTCAGAACGAACACCTTGCTCTTACGACAAGTAACTCGTGAGGAGTACAAACATGTGACTTTTTTCATTTTTAAGATATTTAGTCGACAGTATCGTTCGTTGCCAGAATTAAATGTTCGTTCTGACAACAAATTGATAGCACACCTAACCCCCTTTTTTTTCCCTGTCCCATCATTTTTGTTGATCCATGTATCCGTGTGGACTGCATGGGAGTGCCGCGAGGGCTTTGACTCGGACCGCTGTCCGCAAGGTGGTGGCGAGCGGCATGCGCGCCGAGCTCTTCTCGGTGGGCACGGCGCCGCTCGTCTTCACGCTCTTCATGCCGCTGTGCCTGACCGGCGACACGCTCATGGCGGCGCGGCGCGGCGTGTCCTGGCGCGCCTACAGCGGGCCGTGGCTGGAGGAGCGGCCCCGGCAGCGCCTGCTCCGCCTGGGCCTCATGCAGGCCACCATGGGGCGCGGCGCCATGGTGCGCGGACGCGGCATCGGCAACCTGGACCGCAGGGCGTTCTACAGGGCGCTCAAGTCGTGGTTCAGCTTCCTGCAAGTGCTCATCAACCTGCTAGGATGACTACCTTAGAGTCAAATAAAATTCATTTACGTGACTCGTTGTGGTGTGGAGTGTGCAGTCTTTGAATCGGGAGTTCACGAGTTCATCGAAACCCTAAAAGAATCGCGAAAAGAATTCAACGCTGATTTCAAGTATACCCTCATTCCAGGAACGTGATATCACGTTCAAACGAATGTGGCAAAATGTCACCTTCCTTTGAGCATTGTGTCACATTCGTTTGAATGTGAATCAGCCATAAATTAGCTTATTCACGTTCAAACGAACGTGACACAATGCTCAAAGGAACGTGACATTTTGTCACATTCGTTTCAACGTTTCACCGAGCGTTTCACGTTCCAGGAATGTGAGTGTAATTTGCTCTGGTCTTGGATACAGACCAACCCCCCTGAGCAATCATCACGAAAGATTTTCAAAATTATCAAACTGTTTTTGGATTCTGAGTAATATTTCTGCGTAATATTTTTCTTTCGCACGAGTTAAAGGAAACATTTTGAGCCTGCTAATCCCGCCTCTCCAATCAAGGTACTTTAAATGAAGAAAATGTAACAAATTTTCTGAAAACCTGCTGATTTGAAATAAACTCTGAGAATTCTGGTATGTTGTGCTGGAGCACTCCCTCAAGACTCCTGGCAATATTTAGACGGGCTACTAAGCCCTAAACGTTCTTTAACTGGTGAAAAATTAGAAGGCTGTGATCAGGCGCCGCGTAGGTAGGCAACCCATCGTTCATTGCTTCAGCAACACAACCAGCGCCTCGGAAAAAAAGTAATTTTCACACCAAATAGAATGCAGCAAAGACCATTGGGCACCGGGCATCTGTTTCTTAGACCCATCGCAACGTTCCGTATGAATTTGAAACAAATCTGAGGTGGTCGAACATTTTCGCCGCAAAAAAGCTAATGGTTTTTTTCACGTTTTTGGCAAAAAAATTAAAAAGGGCCAAACTCGGGTGTTGTGCTATGGCACGCCCTTAAGGCTCCTGACAAAATTTAGAGGGCCATTGGGGCTATAAACTGTCTTTTTCTGGCGAAAAAGTGGAATGCCCTGAGCATGCGCCGCGGAGGTTGACAACCCATCGTCCACAGCCTCTTCACTGCTGCAGAAGGGCGTGTCATCACGGAAAAACTTGTTTTTTGTTGCGCCCAGCACCACGAAGCAGCGGGTGGAAACTCTATTGCCGAAATAGGCATGCAGAGGTGTTTTGTTCACGCTAGATCTCTGGATCCAAGAGAGATGGGTAAAATCCGCGGGCATATTTGGAATCCTCATAAAATTTCACGTGGCGTAGGGTATGTTTTATGACGAGGGTTGAGGAGATAATCGATTACATTGCCAAAGGAAAATAAAAATTGAGCAAAATAACGTTTTGTGACAAGGATCGAAACGTTGCATTGTTCTGCTGTGTTCCTTAATGCAAGAGAACGGGACCTCGTAGGGTAATTCACTGGCCATTTTCAGAATCCTGAAGAAATTTCCTGTGCAAAAGGCTGTCATGAAGTCTGCATTACTGTATTATCACAGTCAACCGTCACTGTGTAACTTAAACAAGGTATGCAGCAACTGCATTGTGTAGAATTGACAAAACAGCCTGCGATTGACCGCATGTTTCAAGGGTACTGACCTTCCATTTTTGGCACCCGAGAAGTGATTTGCACAGAGAAAAGTGCGCTGAATTCAGATCTGTGCACAGATTTTGAATTGGTCTTTCCGTTCTCTCACATTAAGGAACACAAAATAGCTATTTCCGGGAAAAGCGAAAATTTCGATCCTTGTTTCATAGCGTTCTTTTGACCTATTTTTTACTTTCCTATGGCAAAATAACCGATCATTTACTCAGCCTCCGACACTAAACATACCCTACGCCACGTGAAATTTTATGAGGATTCCAAATATTCCCACGGATTTCACCTATCTCTCTTGGATCCTGAGATCTAGCGTGAACAAAACACCTCTGCATGCCTATTTCGGCAATAGAGTTTCCACCCGCTGCACGAAGGCAGGCCACCCTTTTGACACGTCACAGGGAAGCAGTAAGACACCAGTATACTCTACAAATCGAAGAGCGTACATTGTATGTATTGGCATGTACTGTATGCACCAGTAAGTGCATGCTTGGCAGGCATGCGCTAGCTAGAGCGTGCTTGCAGGCATGCTCCAGTTAGAGCATACAATGTACGCTCTTCGATTTGTAGAGTACTTACGTATAAGCCACTACGTGATCCCTCATCACGGCTGCCGCTGCCTCTGCGCTTGGCTGCCTCTGTGCTTGGCTCTGCTGCACACCTACACCCACCTTCTCAGAAGCCTGGCCACCCATGCGGCACAAAAGTAAATTGGGCTGCCTACCCTCAGGGCGCTTGGCCGGCGGTCCGCGTCCAACCGTTCGCAAGTTCGCAGCAGGTCTGATCGGGCGGACGCAGAGATCTCCTCCTATCTTTGTCGCACTCATAGGGCGTTGAGTACTGTAGGGGAACGAAAGAGATGATTCCTTAATTCGGCTGCACTTCCCTGGCGTTCTTTCGGTGTTCACGGAAGCATTTGGACACAGCCTGCACTCGCAGTCTGACTGGTCTTCTACTCCTACACCCTCTATTTTGACGACGACGTGTCGCCAGTCTCATTAACCGTCTGCCGCTTGACTTGACTCAAAATAGCTTGGGTCACGAATGATCCTTAATGAATCCATTCGATTGTTTATACTTGAAAACAGAAATTGTACGCTTCGAATGAATGTGAAGCAAATATAGCAGCTTCTGACTTGCCACATAATATCTTTATGAATACATATTGAATGATCATGCGTATGATATTGCATGCAGGGGAAAATAAAGAAAACCTAACTATTTCTACATTGCCAGAACAGTGAAAAATTCACCATGAACGAACCTAACCTAAGATGGAAATTTGTTTCAACGAAGTAACAGACTATTAAGCTGAACGATTGAAGGGCAGAACGGTAGAACAGCAGAACTAGCAACACGAACTCAACAATGCGCAGTGGCAAAGTAGCTGCCGGCGACTCGTTCTAACTGCATTTTCGTTACCAATTATTAAAACCTTTCTTCCTTCACTTCGGCTGCTCGGCGTTGTTGTTGTTAGTTTTAGTTTTTGGTGTGCCGACCGAAGAGATTGCACAAGTGTCCGCCACAGAAAGTAGGGCGCGCTGAGAGCGTTCCGGCCGCCGACGTAGTTCTACCAGCGGCCACCACACAAAGATAGAGCGCGCAGCGGACGCTACCTACGACGAGTGCGAAGGGTTGCCTACCTGTAGGGCGCTGGAGGCTTTCCCGCAGCTCTGGCGCCTGGGCACGCATTGGGGAGTAAGCTGGTGAACTGACGACGAATATCTCGGGATGGCGTGTCGTCCGTTCATGTAGTGCCGCCAGAGCTCAGTAAAAATGTCACCTGCAACAGAGTGGTTGTGAAAAGCATCGCAGAAATGTCACGATAGGGGGGCGCGAATACGAACTGAAATGGCATGAGTGGTTGTGGGGGAGAGGAGTAAATACGTTTCTCTTTGCTAGTTATGCGGTTTTCGATCCCGCAACGTGGAGTCCACGGTTCAAAGGCCGTCAGCAGAGAGAAGCAGTAATTTCCTCCCCGGAATTCCCTGGGCCAACTACGCCTCAGCCCGCGCGCGAGTGCATTGAGCGTGTACGACGCAGACAGGGCCAACAGGTGCGTTTCTGTCAGATGGCATGCGCTCCAAAAAGTGTAGTCGAGTGCAGTCGAAAGCGAGAAAAGTGGCGAGAGTGTAAGCCGATAAGTTTGGTGACGCTTTCTGACACGATCGAGTCGGAATGGTTGCGTACCTCGTTGGCGCTACCGAGCGCGCAGCGAAGATTGCCTACCTCTCGGGCGTTTTCGGGCGCGCAGTCTGACTTCGTAGGGGAGGCAACGGAACGAACGTTGAACGCCGATACCTACGAGTTGCTGGTGCGGTCGCTGGACTGGCCACGCTCTGGGGATCAGACCAAGACTGCGACTGGCTCGAAATCCGAAGCCGCTCCAGAGACCTCCCTTCCGGCGCTCACACTGACAAGCTGGTGGCAAGTACCGGGCAGTTCGCGCGCCGTCCTCTGAAACAGTGTACAGGGTTCTGAAAGCATCGCGGTAAAACATCGAGTGCGAAGAAGCAGTGCGAAAGAGAGACAACGGTGCAAAGCCTCAGCGGGGCTGCATGCAGGCAGGGTGATAAACCCAATTTCTCTTTGCACGGGATTCGAGCCGCGGACTGCAGAGTAAGTTACGTCCATTCTGCAGTCCGCGGTTCAGAGGGGCCGTTCAGAGACCGTCCTTAGAGAGTAGCGGTGTACCCCATTCCCAGGCTTCCCTCTCGGGCCCACAGCAGCAGTGCACCTAATGCACACGGTGCATTGAGGGTGCATGCCACACACTGTGGCAAAAAGGTACGGAAAATTCTGTTAATTTTTTTGCCAGGATTCTCCGTAGCCCTCTTATCAATATTCTCCGTAGGCTCTTACAGTATTCTCCGTAGGGCCGTACAGTATTCTCTGTAAGTCCGCACAGTCTTCTCCGTAGGACCTGGAAGACTGCATAGTCCTACGGAGATCACTGTAAGGTCCTACGGAGAATACTGTGCGGTCCTACAGAAAATACTGTAAGAGCCTACGGAGAATATTGATAAGGGGGCTACGGAGAATTACCACAAGCTGTTTACAGAATTTTCCGTAGCTTTTTGCCACAGTGCATGCAGACCCGACGTAAGGTTGAACGTCCTGTGTTCAGCACCACGAAAGGTGAATAGCGCAAAAAGCATAGTGGGCACATCGGATGCGGTTTACCTTGGCGGCTGCAGGGGCGGGTCGAATGCGTCCGAACTCAAACAGTCGTTTTGCCAGGGCGGAACTCACCTGCACTCCTGCTCTCACTGACGCACCGCGAGCCCCCGAGGCACAAGCAGCCCTCCGGTGCATCAGAAGGCTGTCTTGCAGCCCAGGGGCTTGAACGCGGATGCGCGGGGAGAGGAGTACCCGTACCAGTACCCAACCGCGATTACGAGACCATGCGGACGAACCACTACTCTGAAGGGAGCCCATCCTGCACACACTGCAAGAAAAAGACCGCAACAAAAGTACACAAATTCCTGCCAAATTATTTAACAGGAATTTATTGTACTTTCAAAGTACAGCAATTATTGTACAAAGTACAATGGAACCGGCATGACGAGTGCTGTGCAGTCCAGGCCTCGTGGTTCGTACAATTCTCGTTGTACTTTCTACAATCTCCGTTGTACTTTTTTGTACAGTTTTTGTTTTACTTGCAGTGCATGAGCAGCATTGAGCGCATCGCTCTCACCTGCTACTGCTTCATTGATACGAAGATACACATGGGAAGAGGTGAGCTGTATTAACAACACTATCGGTTGCACGACCGGAGTCGGCGAGGTGACCACGACGCAGGGCACCTGGTGCCGAGGATTGCGCGTGGCGCAGCACGCAATCGTCTGCCCTCCTCTGGCGCGGTCTGCACGGCCACGTCGTCGGCGCGCCGCAACCCGCGCAAGCAAGTAGGTGGCTCCGGCCGTGGCGTCGACCGACAGAGGAGTCTACTCTAGCACGGCCTGAACGGCCACTTCGGCTTGCAGGCGTCGGTGCCTTCGGGCAGCGGGGCCACAGCACGTCGACCGTGGCCTCGGCAAAGGAGTTTACTCTAGACCGTCGTTTACTGCATGCTTTGCATTAGCGAATGACGGAGGCGGAGTGCGTGTCACGTCTGTTGGTCGAGGGACTTCCCTCTGAATCCGCGACGGCCACCCACCGCCTGGCTGCGGCCGCGACCGCGGCGGCCGAATGGCCACTGCCACTACTACCGGCGCGCGTCCGGGAGCGTGTCGCATTCGCATTGGTTCCCTGCTGCAACGACGCCGAAGACGACATGGCCTCTGGTCGGGACCACGTTCCTTGGCCGACTCAGAGGCCTTAGGGAGCTCAGCGCTGCCGCGCAGAGCGCCGTGCACCGCTCTGCAGCAACGCCGTGGCTCCCTGCAGCGGGCTACGACGACGCCCCTCCTGGACAACGGCTTTGTTCAGGTCCTGGAGCGCCGTAAGGCGAGGCGCGGCAGCCACCTGCAGGCCGCCGAACACGCCGTCCTAGCTCACGGCCTTGCGGGCCACCGCTCCTAACCTAACCTGTGCGCCCTCCTGGACAACGGCTTTGTTCAGGTCCTGGAGCGCCGTGAAGCGAGGCGCGGCAGCCACCTGCAGGCCGCCGAACACGCCGAACACGCCCTCCTAGCTCAGGGACTCGCGGACCACCACTCCTAACCTAACCTGTGCGTCCTCCTGGACAACGGCTTTGGTCAGCTCATAAAGCACCTCAAAACGTGGCGTGGGCGGAAGGTCACAATAAGTCCCAGAGGACACCTAAAGCAAGGACCACGTTGAGGGGTACTACGTCGAGACCCTCGACCTTCGCCACTTTACCACGCGCGCGTCCTCGGGCTGACGGCAAGCCGCGCTGCGGTGCATCACTGCCGCACTTCCCCCGCGCATCTTTCTTGGGTTTCTCGGCTGTCGCACACAGTCGCTCTGAATTTCAGTCACACTTTTGCCCAGTCCCTTTGGCTCGGCGTAAAAGCTATGCCTTGGGTACCCATGCCGCCATACCATTCGCTGCCAACTGCCGGCCGTCGGTCACCACCCGCGGTCACTTCCAGACAACGACGGCGTTGTTTGCACGTTTTGTAACTACCTCCAAGTTTGGAGGTGAATTCTTTGGAGGCAATGAAGCGGCCAAAAAAGTAGAAGTGTTTTTTCCTTACGTTTTGCTGCTTCTAAAACTACCTCCAAACTTTAGAGGTGAATACTTTGGAGGTAATTTAGCACCTCTGTGACTGGAGGTGATATCGCTTTCGTGTTTGGAGGTAATATTAACTACATTCAAAACCACCTACAGTACCTCCAAACTCTAGAGGTTTATTCTTTGGAGGCATTTTAGTCCCTTTTTTTTGGAGGTAATAACTTCTCATGTTAGTTTTACCTCCAATTGGTTTTGGAGGTAATACAGTTGGAGGTAGTGGGCAGCTCCCGAGGGCCCCCCCTCCCTCTCGCACCGGCAAGGCGATGACGGCGACGTCCCTGAAAAGTTGGCGCGCTGGGTTTCGGCGGCGGAGCCCGGAGCCGCCGGTTTCGCCTCTGGTTTGTCCGTTGAGCGCGGGATTTCCCTCGCCGTCGCTATAAATAGTTGCGTCCCATAGGGAATAAGAAAAGGTCACGTCGACGTCCAGTGAGCTACAATTGATAACATTTTGGCGCGCTCCCCGAATCAATGACCTCAACGGGGGATGACTCCCCTGACCGTGTACGAAGTATTATAAATGATCGGTATTTCAAGTATTATGTTTAGATAATTGTGTCACTTTCCGTGGTTTTCATCATTAAAAAAAAGTTTCCCAATTACGTAAGGGAGTTTAAAACGGAAGCAATAACATGAATGCAATCGGAAACTAGCATTTTGGCTCGAGTTTTTTGAGCCCCAAAACAAAACCGTACATGCTTAAGAGCCTCAGCACCGTCATTCGTTTTGGCGCCATTTTGTAACTCTTACATTCAAAATAGAAAATCGCTGAACTTCCATGAACTACAATTTCACCGGTCACTTTAAAGCTAAAAATACACTATTTATGCGGCTTTTTTAAAGTATTATGGATTGATATATTACAGGTATTATTCGTGTACCGTCAACCGGGAAATCTTACTAAGCCATCCCCGTCAGAAGTTTCTTCATGGATTGGGGTAACTTCTGAGGGGGATGGCTTAGTAAGATTTCTATGCGAGCTGCCAGCGGAGCCTGTCCGAAATTACCCCGGATGTCCGAAGTTACCCCAGTTTACGGTATTGGGCTTGCTTTCGAAGTAAGGAGTCAGCCCCCCTTGATGACCCCTCATGACCTGTATTTTGCTACGTATTTCGTGTCATCACCGTAAAATGCATTTGACATAAATATAGTGACCTTTATCAGTGCTTGCGGGTTCTGCGTTAGTTATAATTCAAACCATTTCAACGTTCGTGTACTTAGTTCAAATGTTTTCCCCCCAGTGCTATTTCGCGTTTTTCCACGTTTAAGGGTAAACGGTCACCAAAATTCAAGTTGTTTCCCCCGTGTCCGCCAAAAAATTTCTTCGGGACAGTTAGGTCAGATTTCTCCGGCTTTGGCGCCCTGACTGTCGTCCCCCTCCCATGTAAATGAAGGCGCGAGTGGCACCTGGTCGCCGTGCGTGGGCGTGGGAACGCCGGGGGCGGTAGCCTCGCCCCGACTCAACACCGCGGGCATGACTCAATCTGATTATCTGCCGCTATCTCTTATTTGACGAGTGCTGCGCCCCTCGACAACACTGGCAGTGACGTCACTGGCGTGCGCGGTGCGCTTTACAAAGAAAATGATAACTTGAGATGCGAATTTGACAGAAAATACCACGTCAAACACGGGTCATGAGGGGTCGCCAAAACAGAGTGTGATCAAATTTAACTAACTTGTCAATTTTAGCTTTTTCAAGCGGTCCTGTTTCTGTTCCCTGAGGCTAGGCTGCATGCGGCGCCACCATCAGACAGATTCCGAGGGTCTGTTACACATTCAGTCTCTCGCACTCACAGGGCGTCGCGCATGGGTGCAAGAAAGATAACGACGAAAACGACTCTTCGAATAATTCTGCAGGCATACGCCTGCTGCAGGCAGATTCCGAAGAGAGCGAGCAGAAACGAATCGACGATCGTCTCACCGCGGCTACTCGAATTTCTCTGCGAGTGTCGTCGGGTAGTACCGACGGCTCTCCACTGAAAATAGAAAGGTCATACTTTTGACCGCTTAAACGGTCTTACTGAAATGTTCGACCGAAAAAGGGTCATACTGAAATGTAAGACCGAAAAAAGGTCATACTTCGATGTATGACCGAAAAACGGTCATACTTTATAGTGTATCACGGGTAAAGGCTGATATATCCCCAAGCTAAACAATATCCAGTCTCGCTGATGTCTGACCTTTTTTTGGTCATACATTTAAGTATGACCGTTTTTCGGTCATACATTTGTGTACGACCGTTTCACGGTCATACTTTTTGTATCACCGAAAATTGGTCAGATGTCTCTCACCCTTTGAATTTCAGTGTCGGTCCAGATACTACACTGTTAAAAAATGGTTGTACAGAAACAATCAGAAGAGTGAAAATTTAGTCGTTCCAAAACATAGAATTTCATCATGAACCAAAGCGAAACAAATGTCGTTGAGTCTAGTAAGCGACATTTTGTCGTTGAAGAACAAAATTCTTGTTATCACTCTTTATGATACAATTTGTGTGGAAACAACATCCTTTGCATCTGCTCAATTAAAGCATATTATGAATAATCATCTATTTTGTTCTTCTAAGTAATAGGAAAATTACCTTTGTTTAAAAATCTCATTCAACGAACGTTAATGAAAGCAGATGATACTTGTCTGGTGCTCCTGGTGTGGATTTTAAATAAGAGTTAGAACACATATGATTAAAGAATATATTTTCTAGGATATGTCAGTACAAGTATCAAATATTTTTATATTACGGTGCCGGGGCCTCTGCGCTGTAGGCGGGGAGAGAAAGTCAAGCCATTGTTGACGTCCGGCCGCTGGCGCTGTGCCGAAGAGGCATTGTCGAATTCCGCGCAGGCACGAACGCACCACCCGCCCCGGCAGCCAGCTCCTATTATATTGTTGGTTTCTGGACTCTCGAGTAAAAGCTAGCTGACACCTTTATGTGTCTTGTAGTTTTAGGTCTGTTAAAGGTAAAGGTATGAAAGGTATCATCTGCTAAAAAAACCATGCAAAATAAATTTAGCGACAAAAGTACTCTATGAATATCGTCGCAGACATTACAAAATTTCTTTTGGATTTTCAATACTTGTCGTTTATGTGTTATTGTTGGTGCGTTATTACAAGTTAGTCGCTGTGAAATTATCCCTTAGTTCCAATACGACTACGGTTTAACAAGCTATTCGTTCCAAAACAAATCTTGTCACTAAAAAAGTTAGCGATAAATGTGTCGCTAAGTTACGACAAAATTTTTATCAGTGTAGTACTGATGAATACGCAGAGGAGGGTCACGGGAAGCAACTTGAAAGAATTCGTGCAACAAAATTCGTGGACCATCTTGAGTTTTATTACAGTTTCCTCAGAATGCTTGAAAAAATAGTCGATATTAAAAAGCAGAGCGAAAGAAAGGAACCAGTTTTCTGTAAAACTGTTCAGTTTTTCAGTCGTATCCAATATTAGGGTATCCCAATGAATCTCGAAACGGAACACGTTCAAAACCTAACGAAGTATTATTTTGAGCATCATAGTACTAACTAATTTACTTCGTAAAGAAATAGTTCGTAAATTGCGAAGTTTTTCATTGAGAGCTTATGTATGCTCAAAATACTTTGTTATAACAAGCTACTTTTCTTTGTGAGGCTTAAAATAGTTTGTTAGATAGTTTTAGTTTGAAAAAGGGTTATCTCAGTGCAGAAGGTCAAAAGTAAAGTCCCTAAAAACAGCTTCTGCGCATGCGCAGACGTTCCCCCACCACCCGGTGCGCATGCGCAGAAGCTGCTTTTCGGGCCTACTTCTGTTCTTCCGTTTCGAAATACGTTGGAATATCCTATCGCTTTACCTTGAAAACAGTCAAAATCTAATCGAAGTGCGCAAAATTTCCGAGTTGGGCGTCTTCAGCGCCGTACTGTCGCTTCCGTAGATATGATTTTACAAAAGTCTGACGTTTGATCCTCTTGATTCCTTCTTCCCTGCCGGATCAGCTCTTTCGCGTGCACCCTATTTCATCTGTTCGTAACGATTGCTGCTAGTTTTCTTTATCAATCTTTTATCTGAGGCTTTTCAAATAGTAACTGTTAGTTCTTTTCTCCTCTAAAGTCACCGTGTGATTCAACTTCCGCCTAGCTGCTCCTGCATTTCTCCTGTGCGGCTGGTCAGCTTTGGCGACAGGTCTCTACGACAGGATTACCGACTTTCCAGATTCCTAGGAAGGTGAGTGCTATTGAGTGGATGAAATTGTGAGTGCACATCGATTGATCGATTTCACTGATGCGTTGAGGTACACGAGTTCGTTGGAGAATTCTCAGCGGAGGTTGGAATCGAGGCCGAGTAACGCTGCCGTTCAGGGTGGTGCGCACAGTGGAGCGAAACGCCAAAAAATGCGACATCGTGCGACATAGAATCATTTTCCGATCTGTCAGCTTTTTTCACGGCATATGGTCATTTCATGATGTTATCTAGTAAAAGAAATAATTTCCTAGTATTGGCTAGGCTTGTAGAGCTAAAAATCGCGAAAAACATGAAAATTTTGTACCAAAATCTGCCATTTTTTACACGTTTATTGCCCGTAAAACTGACATTTTTTCGATTCTGCAACTTTTCTTAACAGATTCTGAAAGCTAAGGACAAGGCCTACAACTTTTGTTATGGTCGCAACGCTGTAGCGAGGTCGGCCATTCGACTTTTTAGGCCTCAAAGGTTTTTCCTTTAATAAATTTCATTTGAAATTTATTCCTATTTTGACAAATTTAGGTATTTTTGTGCCCCTGCAGTCCGCTTTACATCCCAACCAGTTTCAATTCATCCAATCGAGTTTATAAGAACCGGAAATAGATGTTACGAGGCAACACAGACCTCAAGGGCACTAAAATACCTAAATTTGTCAAAATAGGAATAAATTTCCAATGAAATTTATTAAAGGAAAAACCTTTGAGGCCTAAAAAGTCGAATGGCCGACCTCGCAACAGCGTTGCGACCATAACAAAAGTGGTAGGCCTTGTCCTTAGCTTTCAGAATCTGTTGAGAAAAGTTGCAGAATCGAAAAAATGTCAGTTTTACGGGCAATAAACGTGTAAAAAATGGCAGATTTTGGTACAAAATTTTCATGTTTTTCGCGATTTTTAGCTCTACAAGCCTAGCCAATACTAGGAAATTATTTCTTTTACTAGATAACATCATGAAATGACCATATGCCGTGAAAAAAGCTGACAGATCGGAAAATGATTCTATGTCGCACGATGTCGCATTTTTTGGCGTTTCGCTCCACTGTGGTGCGGGCGTCAGAGCCGGCGTAACGTCACGCTTAACACTTTAGAAGGATTATCTTATTTCTAAAACATCAGCAGTGAAATTAGGTCTCAACTTCGTTCAAGGAGGAAATTTGGGATAACGTTACGCTGTGGGAAGAAGTGGGGGTTGGCTAGGCTAGCGTAACGTTTCTACGGTTAACATTTGACTTCCAATCTGGGTCCGACGTACCCTGCTGACTGCATGAGTGTTGCATCATATCTACTAGCTAGCTGGGTTAGGGGTGCGTACCTGAACTAGCTCGGCCCGAGAAGTAGTCTTCACTCTGACCAAACTGGATAAGTAAAGGTAAACGGCAAACTCCGAGAAGGAACTAGGGTTTTCTCGCATGCCGGCATGTACGGTTATATTTTTATTATACAATAAACACTGCCTCCATGAAGTGGAAGAAGTAAATAGACAACTCAGCTTTTATCAATCTTCGAGAGAGGCATTGAACTGTTTGCTGGGAAAAACTAAAACGGAATGATTGATGCAGATAACCACTAATTTTTAAAGTGGGATTAATTACGGAAAATTTGGAAAAGTGTATTATTACTTCGTCGATGGGTTTATGATGGTTTCTGTGGTTTACATCGTTACGTCAGAATGGACTTCGGAATAGGGTACTTTGGAGAAGCCCTAAACCGGAAGTCAGTGTCAGAACGGGAGAAACAAAAGAGCATCGCGCGGCTGTGCTGAGCGGTGGAGGGGGTCGAAATCGGCGGAGTGGGGGTGAAGGCGGCGCGAGCGCGTAGCCCCCACTCTGCCCATCCCTGCCCCCACCACCGCTCAGCAAGGCCTCGCGACGCTCTGTTGTTTCTCCCGTTCTGTCGCTGACTTCCGGTCTGGATTTCTTCCGAAACGCTATTGTGATCACTGTTATTTCTCTTATGAGGTGGAATTTGGATACAATTTAAGTCAGTGGGGCCCAAACGGGGCAAACACTAATAAGAGTCCCGGAAGAAGAAGAACAAAAACGGAAGTAAGAATTTCTCAGTTTCGATGAGAAATATACGCTGCGGACCTCATGCGGATGAGGTCCGTGGCGTATATTTCTCATCGAAAGTGACAATTTCTTACTTCCGTTTTTATTCTTCTTCCGGGCCAGAGCTTCTTTGGAGTACTCTATTAGAGGAGACGTGTGAAAGTATGAAAAAGGCAGGACATGGGAACTTATTTCGAGCTTCGGTAGGCACTGCAAGAAAAAGTGTGAAGAGTACAACAGAAGTTCAAAATTATAAAACGGCACACTAAAAGTACATCAGGGATTGTATAAAGTACGAGAATTGTCTTACTCTAAATGTCTTACCATGAAATTTGGCCTATGTTACGAATAACATATGCCAAATTTCATGGTCAGACTTTTAGAGTGTAACAATTGTTGTGCAATGTACAATAATGGATAACTGACATGACGAGTGCTGGGCAGTCCAGGCCTCGTTGTGGTTTGCACAATTCTCGTTCTTAATACAATCCCTGTAGTACTTTTATTGTGCAAGTATAATACGAAGCAATATTTCTTCGTAATACGAATCTTTTAGCCATTTTCATTGTAAGATACGAAGAAAAACCACCTTCGCATCCCTTGCAAAATGAAAAATACATGGCCCGACATGTATTGACGTCATATGTGGAAAAGATAATTTAGCAAGATACTTTTCCGATATAAAAAATATGTGGCAAATATATAAATTTCATACATTGCTCTATATGTAGGTAATATATGGTGTGAATACACCATGCAGTCCGACGACTCAGTCTGCAGAGACTTCCTTTACTATTATACACTCTGAGAAAAAATGACGGTAAATCCTGGATAATTTTTATGCCAAACTTTACCGTACTTCAAAAACCAGTGCCCACCGTACAGTCTACAGTATTTACCGTACTTGTTTTACAAAATACTTCGTAGTCTTTTAACAGTAGTTACCGTTCTTCCGTACAGACCATGCCGTAGGAAGGACCATATCTGGTCCCAACAAAGGCCGCTTCCAAGAATTATCCACATCAGGATCTTGAAAAAAGGGGGTCGACCGACTGAAAAATTTTATTGCACCTTTCGAAAGGTCTCGTCAAGACCTTTCCAACGAGTGGTCGGAAAAGGGGGGGGGGGGTGTTCCAGGAGTCCGACTTCAGCAGTTGCGTACATCAGGAACTTGGAAAAAAGAGGGTCAACCGACTAAACAAAATCATACCAGTTTTTGATAGGTATTGAAAGTACGGGATTGCCGGGTAAAAAAGTACGGGATTCCCTGTAAGTAAAGCACGGTGTTTCCTGTAAAAAAAAGTACGGTATTGCCTGTAAAAAAAACGACGGAATTGCCTGTTAAAAAAAGTACGGTGAAGTCTGGAGTAATCAGTACAGGATTTACCGTGATCTTTTCTCGCAGTGTAAAAGAATGTAAACTTCGCCTTGCGAGGGCATCCAATTGTGATCCTACCGGGGTCGTCACAAGAACTTTTTGCGCTACGCCCAAAAAAGACGTTTAAAATTTCCGAACTATTCCAGTTCACTTGTTAAACAGGATCTCTCAAAATTTCTTGGAGACTTAAACGCATAGAAAAGAACCTTTGCCCTGCTCAATATATGGCGTCAATATATTTTACAATATAAAATCATATTGAGAAATATAGCCGCCTTTCAACATCCAGTGCCAAGATTTTAAGAAAAGTTACTTGAAAAGTCTGCCCTCCTCACCCTGCCCCATCCCACGACGGGGACTGTGTCAGATATTGAAACATATATTTCGCGAAGATAATATTATATGGGGAAATATATGCATTATATATTAACGGGCACCAAGATATACCCCCATATATAAACCACGTATTGCGCAAGATAATTTGCAAGATACAATTCTATTGACAACGCATGAAACATATATGGAGTCATATATTGACACATATTTTCCATATATTTTCCTTTTTGCAAGGGATTATGCTTGCGCCATTTACTTCGTATTGGGAAATTTCTTCGTAAGACATTGAGAGTGTTCAACAAGGCAGGTGTACGTCAGACCGCGTCTGCTCTGGCGGTGGTGGGGGCTCGAGTCGGGATCGGCCAGAGCTCTTGCCGGGGCTCAGGTCATCGGGGCTAAACCGGTACGGGGCTCAAATCGAGGGGTCCTACCGAAAAGATCTTATCGTGGCGTCCCCCTCAAAGAATCTTATCCTAAACCCAAGTGAATTTCGCCAAATTTGATCATTTGGGACGGATACGAGAGTTAGCGGAACATATTTCTACAAGCACTACTGGTTGCTTTGATCTTTAATTTTTAAGGTTATGTGAATAAAATCACAAATTACATTGATATATAGCTGTACCGTATGATTAAATTGAGTGAAATTCGCATGCGTTTTAGATAAGGTTATTTTGGGGAACGCCCAGATAAAATCTCCGAATAAGATCCCTGGAAATCGACCCTGCCCACCTTCTGGTCTTAGTGTTCAGTCTTGCATGCTAATCCTCTAGGGCGATCCCATTCATTACTAGAAACTTTATTTTTGACCATAGCTTTGCACGCACTGCTAGAAAAACGACGACATAAGTACACGAACAAGTGGCAATATTTTTTAATCAGGAATTTAACGTACTTTCAAAGTACAACTATTGTTGTACAAAGTTCAATGGGACCGGCATGACGTCCTGTGCAGTCCAGGCCTCGTCGCGGTTTGTACAATTTTCGTTGTACTGCTTACAATCCCTTATGGTACTTTTATTGCACAGTTTTTTGTTGTTCTATTCAAACTTTTTCTTGCAGTGCGGAATTGACCATACATTTTAAAATACACTAGTTCCGTGCGGAGCTTCGCCTGAAAAAACTACATACTGATTTAGTGTCAGTTAACATCAGTTGATCGTTCACAGGATTGTAATGTGTTCTGGTTCCGCTTTGCAGGTACCAAGCCTTCAGTCATCGCAGCTTTGAAGTTTGGCGCAGACAGGGAAAGACGGCGTCAACCTACATTCAAAGCTTCAGCTGTTGCAAATCGCACCCGTACTCTCAGTCAACATGGTCCATTCTGAGGTAAGTTACTTTATCTTCGAACTTAATTTAAGTCTTCAGTAAGATCGCTGATGAACTGATTCAGTGGCGTCGGAAGTGGGGTGACAAGGGGGCTCACTCTGCACTGCTTTGATTGTAAGAGGCACGAAGTAGCCTTATAGTATACCCAGGATTCAGCCGGCGCGAGATTCAATTCGTGTGGCCCTTTATGTATTTTGGAAATTTTCTATAGGATTTTAATGAGATTTTACAGACTAGTAGAACTTTGAACGCTGATTCTAATGTTGTAATGTGGTTAAAAAGTCAACGGCCAATTTTGAGAAATTTGCTGTCAAAATCGCTGTTTCCATGGCAAAACTCGACTCGTCAAGGAAAAAGGAAGGGAGTGGGGGGAGCCCGAGCCGGGGCGGACCAATAGCTGAGCTCCTGTTCGGCCCTGTACAGCTTACCCCAAAAGATGAAAAAGCACGTTCGAAATGAAAAATCTCTTTGACTGCAGCTAGAGGAGATCCAACAATAGAATTGATGTCGTTTCGAACGTGGCCATTTGGATCGGCCGGCCGGCCAGTGACTTTTTATGAGAGTGTCCCGCACCAATCCCGCACCGCTGCGTTGTTGTTTTTACTCGTTCTTTACACACCACTCACTAACATACAAAACTCTATGTGAAGAGAACGAGTATTGTGTTCAAAAATGAGTTTTGGGGGGACATCTTTCATCTCAGATCTGACAGCATGTGGGAAAATGAGAGTGGTATCAAATGAAAGATGGAGTGTCAGTCGCTAGATCGTAAATGAACTTTTTTTTGCTTGCAATGAGAAATACTGAGAAAATGAACATGAAAGAGAGACGTTTTTAGTGCATTATGTGAAACTAACCTCTTTTCAAGTGTTTGTATCTTTTGATATAGAACGCAACTGGAACGCAAACAACAACGACAACGACCAGAGATCTTTGGCCAACAAAAAACTAGGAGGGTATTTTCCAAGTGACAATGGATAATTTTGAGAAATTTGGTCATAAAGAAACATCGTTTGACGCTAATCGTGATATATGTCTCAGAACTGCTAGTGGTATCTTCCTAATGAAAGTTTCTTGGCAGGTGTTGCATGTCTTATGTTGGAGATGAGAGACGAAATAATAAGTTTCATTTGACTTCTTTTTTTAATAAATGTGCCCTTCTGAGGGTTTTGGTCATGGAAAAAGCAGGTTTTTGGCACGGACTCACGGACTCTAGTGTAAATTCGGTTATGCACGAGAATCGATATCTCGAGATATCGCGATGTATCGATGTTCCCTGCCTGAGAGGAGAACCAACCGGAAGCGTTCGTTAAAATGCAAAATTACAAATCGTCAGAGGACAATTCATGTACACTGTTAAAAAAATCAGTTGTAATTTTCATAACATTGGTTGGCATTTTTTTTCACAAACAATTGTTATGAAAATTAAAATTACAAATGATTGTAAATTGTTTTACAATCACGTTATGAAAATTCATATCATGTTATGAAAATTCATATTCGCGTTTGCGAGGTCATTTTAGAGCAGTTAAGCAAAAGGACAACTAAGTGTTCATGTATATGAACACCCAAGCGGCCTTATGCCATTTATTGAACCGAATCTGCTTTTGATCAGCGGGTTTCGAACCCGGGATCTTTGACTTGTGGTGCACGCTCTTTACCGCTGTGCTACCACGTCCCACGGGAGGCGGTGGGTCAGCTACTGATGACTCTACCAGCGCCCCTTGGCCACGCCTCTTGAGCTAGTTATGAAATTTACAATCGGATTCGGAAAATTACTATTGTGTGCTCAAAATCAACATTTAAGATTCGCAATTTTCAGAACATGGTTTTAAAATTACCAACAATTGTCAATTTTACGAAATTGTTTTGAATTTTCGCATCAAGTTGTGAAAATTGCAATGTTTGTAAAATTCATATCCGTATTCGTAAAATTGTCATCAAAATTGCTTTGAAAATTCATAACTTTTTTAACAGTGTAACGATCAGCGACTGGCACATCAATCTAGTTTGTAAAGAACGAGTCCCTCCCATGTGATGTCAATTCTTTGATGTCTTTCCTTCTTGTTGTTGTTGTTTTGTTGAAAATTTTTGTTACTCTTCAAATCGGAGTGAATTGAGCCATTTAACTGCGTACATGTGCACATGCATCTGTGAATTATCTTTCCTTAATGTAGTTTAAGAGTCGCTTTAAGACTTTTAGCTTCTTTTTGAATAAGCTGGTCATGTAGCTGCTCCTTTTAGCGAGGTTTGATGGTACTTCTGATTCAGTTAGCATAAGTTAGCAGCATGATCACTTCGCTACACCTCGCGACTTTCAGTGCTCATGTTCCTCGAACAAGACTCACCTGCGTTTCGAGACCATCCCTCTCGAGTTTATAAAGTTTGTCAAGCCAACCGTCGTGGTGTTGCTACGTTATGTTCTTCAAATCAAAGAGTGTACATAGTATGCTCTAACTGGAGCATGCCTGCAAGCACGCTCTAGCTAGCGCATGCCTGCCAAGCATGCACTAACTAGTGCATACATGCCATGTACACGCTTCCTGATGCAGAAAACTCCCTATCCCTTATGCAGTAAATGTATGCTTCAGTTAGCGTGTACATGGTATGTATGCACTAGTTAGTGCATGCTTGGCAGGCATGCTAGTTAGAGCGTGCTTGCAGGCATGCGCCAGTTAGAGCGTACCATGTACACTCTTTGATTTGTAGAGTGAGTGAGAACTATTACACAGAATTGAAGAAAACATGACTAGAGAACCGTAGCCTTTTGAAACAAGCCAAACAATTCAACGTCAGCAACAATGGAGGGGCAGTTTTAATGCGCGACTATACTCGTGTTTTCAGCTTCGCGATTTTCGCAAGGGCGCAGACGCCGACAAAATTGTTGCCAACCCGCGAAAATTAATTTACTGCCTTCTTTCTGCTACCATCATTTTCATAATGATGGACTTCAAAGATGTACCTTTGTCAGATCACTGTGGAATACATTAGCATTGGAATTTTTCGAATTTCCCGGCATTTTGATTTCTCTCAATTGCCAAGTTTAAATTGTGACGGGTGGCATATCGACCACAGTGGGGACATTCCATGTGAAGTCAACCAGGCCTTAGCCACCATGGGCTCCGATCCGGTTCTCGTTTTCAGGTTTTGTTACCCTTATGGTCCCATGAAATAATCGGTACTTGGTTTGGGGTCCGGCCCCCCAGGGGCTGGGCTATGGCCAATTTACTTTTTTGCTAAATATCGGAACAACGCAACTTTGGAGGGCAATATCTCAGCAACCATTGGTCGTAGGTCAAATCCGAGACCAGATTTGGAAAGAGGATGAAAAACTGAATCTTTTTTGTCTTTGAAGTTTTTACGTCCAAAAACTTTTTATAACTTTAAAACTTTAGTGAAGTTTTCAAATTAGCGCTATTTCCTAGATCCTCAACCGATTTTGACCAATCTGGGCTTAAAAGATAGCTTAAACCCTTCCCTAAACGAAAATGTTAACCAAAAAATGTGTTCGGCTTCGTTCCCGAGAACGAGCCATTTTCGTGAACCCCTGCAACCACGTATTTCACCAAATTGTTGTGACGGCCGCACTCGATACCACACTGGACGCTCTCTCAGGTGTTTTCGGCTCAAAGCAAGTTTCCGGGTTACTTTTCTAAGGTTAGGGGACCCAAGCGCCTGTCAGGTAGGCCAACAACCAGCAGACCTGCAACGCACTAGTGACGACAGGGTGGCCTACACAAATCAAACGTGTGCTTAGTACACAGCTGTGGGGGTATGCTTGGAAGCATACATCTATAGAAGTGTGCTTGTCAAGCATGCATCTATAGATGTGTACTTGGGCAAGCATGCATCTATGGCTGTGTGCTTTTAAATGGGTGAGATGAATGCATGCTTCTCCAAGTACACAGCTACAGATGCATGCTTGCCCAAGTACACATCTATAGGTGTATGCTTGTCAAGCACACTTCTATAGATGCTTACCCTAGCATACTCCTGTAGCTGTGTGCTTCCAAGTATACTCCCACAGCTGTGTACTAAGCACACATCTGATCTTGCAGTGTACTTTGCCCCTGAAGAGTGGGACAGGCAGCGCGCTCTGGGCGATCGGAACAGTACAACACTCCGCCACTCGCCAGCCTGCCAATCTGCGTGTCTGTTCGTGTCTTAAGAAAAATGTCCCGGACAATAGGGCGTTTCAAAAAAATTTGATTTTTGAAAGGAGTCGGTTTTTAGGGTCATCTAGGTCCCAAATGACCTCACACCAAATTTGAGCGAAATCGGTTGACATTTACCCGGTGCACAGCGCGAGAAAACTATTGGTCTCGCTTGGGAGGTCCCCCCTACCCGCGTCTTTCCGCCGCGACTGTGGCGCCATCTGAGATCCGAACTCTCTGAAATTTGGTGGCGATGTTCCTTGGGGCTTCCCCTATCGGCCTGCGTGGTTCGGGCTCAGACCCTGCCTCACGTGACTAAGCGACAGGGCCTAAAGTGCATCAAATTGTTTGTTGAGGGGGACGGGGGAAGGAGGTGGGTGGTGTGAAATTGGCATGTGGGTCCCTTCAACCGGTGCGCCAGGTAGAGATATACCTAGTCTGAACACTAAGCGGTTCACTTATTAACAGTAAAAGCAAGAAAAATATGGAAAACATGCTGGGACGCGCCTGGAAGTAGGCAAACCACGGTACTTATCACCGACATTGCGTACCTCCCAGGCGCGTCCCCGCATGTTTTCCATATTTTCCTTGTTTTTACTGTGAATATGTGAACCGCTTAGTGTTCAGACTAGGTATATCTCTAGCTGGCGCACCGGTTGAAGGGACCCACATGCCAATTTCACACCACCCACCTCCTTCCCCCGCCCCCCTCAAAAAACAATTTGATGCACTTTAGGCCCTGTCGCTTCGTCACGTGAGGCAGGGACTGAGCCCGAACCACGCAGGCCGATAGGGGAAGCCCCAAGGAACATCGCCACCAAATTTCAGAGAGTTCAGATCTCA